TTCGTATACATGGCTGGTAAACAGACAATGTCAAGAGTATATTTTATGACTGCCAGAAGGTTTGACTCTGCCAGATTTCCATACTTTTGTATACTCTCTCCTACTGTATCAATGGGTTTGTAGCTGGGTCTTTCTATAGTGATCTATCATATATGCAACACAGCATGAAGTTGCTCTATAAGCATAAGCCCAAGATGGTTCGCTGAGATGAGGCATCCTTTTAGTTAGCTCTCCAACATGAACACTTCTCCTAAAGTGGTTTAAAGCCATTTCAAGAAAATGTTTCAAAGTCAATCTTAAACACCAAAATGGGGCTGGAGAGATGGCTCAGTACTTAAGAGCACTGAGTGTTCCTGCAGAAGTCAGGGGTTGGAATCCCAGCATCCACGAGGCATGGTGACTAAAAAGTGTCCACTTCAGTTCCAGGAAAGCTGACACCCTCTTCTTTCCTCCATGGGCACTGCATGACACAAGTGCACTTACAAACATGCAGGAATATCATTCATACACATAAAATAAAAATAACTTTAAAAATACCAAAATTATGAGGAAATTTCTAAGTATGCCCATTTATTCTGCAACTGAGATAATTCCTTTCCCCAAATCATAAAAGCTGCTTGGACTGATCTCTTGGGTCCCCACATTTTATTTTTCATCAAGTGTGCATTTTATTTTGTCTGCTAGAGTGCGTTCTCCTTGAAAACCAAGATTCATGTTGGATTTATATTTGTTGTTTCCTGCTTGCTTAGCTCACCACCTGGCAAACAATAGTATTTAATATCATAGATAAGTTAAAAATACATATCTGTTATTGTGGATATAAGTGTGTAAAGTTAGATACTGGATAGAGACCTAATTCTATTTATTAAAACAATAGCTGGGCATGGTGGTGCACACCTTTAATCCCAGCACTTTGGAGGCAGAGGCAGAGGCAGGCAGATCTTTGTGAGTTCAAGGCCAGTCTGGTCTAATTAGTGAGTTCCAGGACAGCTGGGGCTAAAAGGAGACCCTGCCTCAAAAAAAAAAAAAAAAAAAAAAAAAAAAAAAAAAACCAAAAAAAAAAAAAAAAAAAAGAAAAGAAAAGAAAAAAGAAAAAGTATAGGAGTAAAAGAATATTATTTTGTTTTACTGTTTTGGACAAAAGATTTTTTTCCACCTTTAAAAGATACTGTCATCCCTCCCTATTCAGTTCTGGATCCCAGTCTCAGTTTCCACAGTCTCATGAATGTAGAAGCAAATAGAAAGTCATAAACACAGAGATCATATAAGAGGGATGCCCATGCAATTTATGTATGTATATGCTTAGCCAACGTTGTAAGAATGACATGGCAGCTATGTCTGCTGCTTACAATTGAAATAAAGGAAACTCGACTTTTGCAATCCTCAAATGAGTCAACGAATAGTATTATAATAGCTCTTAGGAAAATACATATGACAACAAGTATTGGCAGGGCTCTACAAGAAGGCTGATTTGTGGGAATGTAAATTGATACTGACATTTGAAAAAAATAGCATGGAGTGCCCTGAATCACTAAATATAAAACTACCATATGATCCAGCAATGTCACTTTTGGGCATATTTCCAAAGGAATTGAAATTACTATGTTGACAAATTGTCTGTATTCCCATACTTATTGTGCACTACTAACAGTAGCCAGGATAGGGAAGGAACCTCTGTCCATCAACTGATACATGGGCAAAGAAAATGAGGTGAAAATACACCATGGAATGTTATTTAGCCTTTCAAAGGAAGCAAATTTTGTGATATTTAGCATCAGTGATGTGCCAGGGGACATTCAGTTAAGTAAAATAGGCTAAATAGTTTAGATATACAATGACAAATACTATATGGTTTCACATGTACAATCTACAACAGTTGAACTCAGTGAATCAGCAAGTACAATGGTGTTTAGCAGAGTGTGAGACAGGTAACAGGGAAAGGGAAGATAAAGATCAAATGTGTGCAAAGATTCGAACAGTCCTAGTGAAGTGATCCAAGGCAAAGCATGGTGACCACGATTAATACTTTACATTCTATTTTGAAGATGTTAAAAGCTTTAAAAATTCTCATCACAAAACAAAAATGATAATTAGATGAGGAAATGATCATTGACTTGATTTAATCTCGCTTAATGTTTCCATAGGTCAAAACATCAGATTGTACACCATAAATATATAATATGTAAGTTATTATTTGTTAATTAACAAATGTCATACTGACATCTATAAAGAAAAGCTGAAAAAGGAAATGAAAGAAAATAACTGTTCTGTATATTTCTTTAGCAGGAGAGAGAGAGAGAGAGAGAGAGAGAGAGAGAGAGAGAGAGAGAGAGAGAGAGAGAATGAATATGAGAGAGAGAACAGAACAGAAAAGAATTAGCATTAGTTCTGGATACTGGAGGCTCTTGGCAGAACAAATAAAACAAGCTCCTTACAGGTTCATGAGGTCTGCATTTACCAATGAGAATGCCGGTAAAAGAGAGGAACGTGTCCAGATTATGGCAGGTCGAAGCTTCAAAAGTAGACATTTCTGACTCTAAAGTGCGTGCTGTCTAGTCTTTCTTGGCTGAGTAAGTACAGTGCTGTTTAATAATATGAGAAGATGTTACCATTACATGATGACTATTTAGGGAGAAAGGGGAAACAATTCTAAGAAAGCAAACTGGACTGAAGTTGGGGAGAGGTTTTGGTACCAGGGAGGACAATTAAAAGTAGGCATTTAATAAAGTTTTCATTGAAAGATTAAAATGACAGCTGTAATGAAATTCAAGAAAAGAGCAAAATTCATAGGCACCAAGTATGTGAAGAACTGAGCTAATTCTGAGATCAAAACAGTAAAATGGAGAGATTACAGTTTGACCCATTCCCTGGAATAAGAACTTGGTATTTAAAGATTGCTTCAGAACAACCATAAGCTTACCCCAGCTTACAAATATTATTTAGGGGGCTGGAGAGATACCTCAGTGGTTAAGAGCACTGGCTGCTCTTGCAGGGGACCCAGATTGGATTCCCAGCACTCATATGGCAGCTAACAACAGTCCCTAACTCCAGTTCCAGGGAAAACCAACCCTCTTCTGACCTCCACAGGCATTGCATAACATGGGTGCACTTACACACATGCAGGCAATGAACTCATATACATAAAATAAAAATAATAGATAAGATTTTAAAAATATCATTTAAGATCAACAGATCTGCAAGCAATGTTGGAAAGGGATAATGAGGTCCTTGAAACAGATATTATCTGTTGCTTAAATAAAAATGTTATTAATGCTTTATATACAGACATATTCCAGGGACCGGATGACTGTACAATTCCATATTATAAAACTTGCAAACCATATTTGATTTGCATTTTTAATTTATTGTTTCCGTAATTTAGAAAAGATTTTTACTAAAGCCATCTATAGTGCTTGTCCTCAGTGATTGAAAATGATTTTTATAGATTTCCAAGGAAAATTTAAAAAGGATAGAAAGCACAGATCTACTTCTAGATAATTTGTGCTGGCAAATAATCTGGTATGAATAATTAAATATTCCAGTATTTACATTCTGTCTGTGCATGCAAATGTACAAGTATGGGTACATATGTGTGTATGTATGTATATGTTCAGGTATATGCATATGTGTATGTGTGTACACATGTGTGCCTATACATACACACATGTGTGCCTGTGTGTGTGGAGATCAGAGGTCATTCATCTGACAGCAGTCAGTTTTTGTTTTGATAGAGAATCTCTCATTGAGACTGGTCATTCAACATTTAGCCATGGTTGGTTGGCTGGCCTGTGAGACCTGGAGATTCTTTTATCTTCTTTAGTGCTGGGATTACAGGCTTGCACCACCATATTATCTATTTATGCTTTATTTATTTATTTAAAATTTTTATTTATTATTTTTTATTTTATGTGTATGCGTGTATTGCCTGCATGTAGGTAAGTGCACTCATGTTGTGCAATGCCTCTGGAGGTCAGAAAAGGCTGTTGGGTCCCCTGGGACTGGAGTTAGAGACAGTTGTTAGCTGTCATGTGGGTGTTGGGATTCAAACCTGGGTCTTCTGCAAGAACAACCACTATTCTTAACAGCTGAGCCATCTCTCCAGTCCCTGTATTAGCTTTTAAAATGGCTGCTGGGGCTCAAACTCAGGTATTCATGATTGCGTGACCAAACTTTTACCAACTGAGTTATCTGTGCAGCCTTCAAATACTTAAATTCTATTTTAATTAATACTTGCTAGGGAGTCAAAACATTTCAGAAATTAGGGATTAAGCCTAATTTCTAGAGTATACAGAGCATTGTGTTCCTAAAAGGAATGAATTGCTTTAGAAATGCATGGGAAAATTTATTTACAAGGTAAAAAACTATGCCAATGAAAAGTGGAAAGAGCCATTTGACCTGGATATTTGTCTAAGCAAATCTCCTACAAAGCATTTTATATGTGGCACTGAGTTTATGAAATATGGAAATATTTGTAGGTTTTTCCTCCAAAGGAATACTCTGTCATGATAGCTAAAAATTTAAGAAAGGGGAAATAAGATACTTCCCTGAAGAGACAGTGTGGCAGTTGACAGCTTGAAATTTGGAGGGAAGCTCATCTAAATTACATCCTAGTCTATCTATTTAATACAGGTTAGAAGATGTATATTTACTTTAACTTATATGTAATTTTCTGTTTCACATTTTGAAAGTTTTGAGAAAACCAATGTATATAAAGTGTGTATGTGAATCATAATATATAATATAATTACTTAATAAATGTTAGCTATGTTTACATCAATTTGAACCACATGAGATTGCCATATATGTAAGTCTAATGTGAACACTGGCAGCTTTGTATGATAGTAAATACTTTAGCTTTATAAATCCCAAACATATTGAAACAGGGAATAGAAAGTGAAGGCTTGATTTGCCCACCTGGAGCAAAGGAATGGACATTCCCCAGAGGTGAAAAAGCATCAGCAGTATGTGCTCGTGTGTGTGTGTGTGTGTGTGTGTGTGTGTGTGTGTGTGGTGAACCCAGTCCCTAGCTACCACAAATTATTCAGTGAAGTTTCCTGGATTTGATGAAATCAAAGGGGTCAACATATGCCAAATGCAATAGATGGGCCTCACCCTGGGAAAACCAGCTTCTTGATCATGGTATCTCCCTTGCCAGCAAATATTCCAGTTATATTTTAATTGGGCTTCGAAATGCTGTTTCCTGTCTGTCTGCCTGTCTTTCTGTCTGTCTGTGTTAATGCCTGTAAGCTCAGGAATGGTACTGTGGTTTGAGAATGTCATAAAACAAGCAAGAAAGAGATCAAGGGAGAATTCTTGGACAAAGCTTGAAAACTGAGGCTGGGGTGGTGTAGTCATCCTTGGGCCTGTGCTTTTTTGCTAACATGTGAGAGTTTTAACAAACCAAAATGAAAAAGAAGTAGAAACACGCTAAATTATTAATGCAGAATAGATTTTTGTTTGGATAAGTTTTCTAGGAAATGAAGTCAGGAAATAGTCCAATAATAGCCAAGAAGATTCCTTATCCTTGACCATAGTTCTTTTTCCAAAATTTAAAAAAATTATTACTTTTTATTTCATGTATATGAGTGTATTGCCTGCATGTGTGTAAGTGCTACATGCAGGCAAAACACTCATAAGTAAAATTAAAATAATTTAAAAAATGTAAAGGTGTAGTGAGAATCTAGTCCCCTCCTAAGAGTTTTTGCTCTGTGTCCTTTGAGAGTTGAGTAGCTTGCTCTACTGTGTGCTTTCTCCACAAAAGGAATGAAATCAACCAACCACAGATCCAATCCTCCAAACCGGTGAGCCAATTTATGCCTTTGCCCTTTAAGTCTCAAGAATTATGTTACAAAAGTAGGTCGATGCAAGTTATTTCAGAAAATGGGATGCCTTTTTTTTTTTCAAGTGACCACTTGAGAACTAACATTATCATACAGAGAGAATTCAGTAAACAGGGCTGCCTCTTTAGAGACTACTGTCAAATCAGATTAATTTAGAAAAGAAATCTGATCATACAAGAAACTGTGTTCCTATCACAGATGGAGAAGAAATTATAATATCTCATTTAGAATTCTAAACAAATAAGGCTCTGGGTTCCCAAGCTTGGCAAACCTTTAAACATTTTATTTATTATTTTTATTCATATGTGTATGAGTGTATTCCTTGCATATACATAATTGCCATGCCCTTGCCATTGGAGGTAGGAAGCAGGCTCCCATATGGGTGCCTGGAACCAAACTAGGGTCCTCTGCAAGAGCACCAGTGCTCTTAACTGCTGAGCCATCTCTCCAGTCCATAGCCACATCTTAAAGAAGGATTTATTTAAGGCAATGAAGGATAAGAAAATGTTCAATAATTTATTATTAAGCTTTTGGTTAAGCAAGATTTGAGCATCTATGATCTCTGATTTGGTTTTGTGCTTCTAACGTCCCTGACTCACAACAGCCTTAGCTTTAAAACAGGATGAAATCTAAGGATAGGATGTTACTTAGCACTATCAGTATACACACATCCCAAGCTTGAAGCTGGGCTTGAAATTTTGGAACCTGGAGAAGACAAACACTTTACAAATCTGAAACATTTATATTTTTCTCTTTGGACATCATCACCGGACCACTGCTGGAAGATGGAGAGGAGAAAATGAGACATCGCTTTAGACTGAGTGGGAGTCAATTGTCGGGGAAGACAGCTGGAATGGATCACAAAGTGCACTCCAGTTTTCCAATCACTGTAGTCTCCTCGTGTAGGACAGACACTCTGGAGCCATCTAGTGGTGCATCGCCTTAGACCTAGAAGATTTGAAAAGAGCCTAGGTTTAGAGCTGAGCAAGAGTCTGTGGAAGAAACTCTCACTACAGTCTCCCAGAGATGCGTCATAATTTCAGGAAGGCAGCATCTGCTGCCGAAGCCGAATTCTAGGAAAGCAGCTAACCTTATCCTTAACCCTGCCTCGTTCGCTCTGACTACATTTCCTTGAGCACTATTCTGAGGCATGCATCATCTGGTGACCTACATTGGGGTGAATTTATAATCAATAATTATTTTTAAAATTGAACCTATTAGGCACAATAAAAATACAAGATTGCATCTATCCTGGAGAAATTTTTCATGTTTCTGAGTTAATTGTTGACTCCTAATTAGCTCCACCAATCTTTAACCACTTTGGAGCTCAGCTTCCATTGTGAAATTGTTAACATTGCTGGAAATTGCCTAAAAAGGGTTTCAGTGACTTGAAATAGGCAGGACAGTGCCTTATTTTGATTTCTACTTATGACACACGAGGACAGGTGGAGGAAGCTGTTTCATATCCCTGAAAATGAAAACCTCTTCACAATAGTTTGAACTAGCATAGACTAAGCTGCAATACTTGGAAGAGGTTTTCCCTGGAGATTGAACTGGTAACATATTAGTTACATGTCTTGCTGCTGTGACAAAATTCTTGACAAAAGCAACTTAAGTCAGGAAGGATTTATTCTGGCTCACAGTTCAAGAGAACACATTTCAAGGTGATGAGAAAGGCATGATGTCAGAAACACAGGATAGCTGGGCACATTGCACTGAAACTCAGGAAACAGAGAGCAATCAATGCTACTGCTTGCCCCGTTCAGCTCCCTTTTTTCCATTTAATCAAGGAAAGCAGTCTGTGGAATGGGTGCAGTTCAAATTTAGATGGGTCTTCCTACCTCAATTAACCTAAACTCTATAAGTCCTCACAGACATACATATAAGCTTGTCTCTAGTAGTTCTCGAGCATACCAAGATGACAGTATTAACTACTTTCTACTAAATTAGCCTAATTTATTTTACTTTGTAAATTAGACTCTACAGATGTTTTTCACATTTTTTTAAAAAAAGATTGGGATTTTATTTTATTTTATGTGACTTTTTTATCTATATGCATGTAATTGTACCATATGGGTGCAATGCCAATTGAAGTGAGAAGGCTTCCACCATGTAGGAGCAGGAACCTTACCTGCTTCCTCTGAAAGAGCAGCTAGTGCTCTTAACCCCTAAGCCATGGCTCCAGTACATTTTTTTTTTTGTATATGTGCTTGTGTGTACCTGAGTGTGTTATATGTACTATGTTCATGTATGTGCCTATGGAAGCCAGAAGAGTGTGACATATACTCTAACTGGAATCACAGATAGTTGTGCCACCTAATATGGGTTCTGGGAACCAATCTTGGGTTATCTACAAGAGCAGCTCTTAACCACTGAGCCATCTTCTCAAGCCTTTTTATTTATTTTTTTAAGATGTGAATATGTATCAAAATCAACATAGGTCCCATTAAAAGGCAATGGTTGGGACCTATAGATTTTTTTCCCAGATAGGTCTAGGGCAGTGTTCAAGAGTTTACATGTAGAATAGGTGCCCTACAGTTACTTTAATTTTGACTGAGGGTCTGTATTTTATAAGCTACTGAGGAGAATTAAAGTATGAAGGTTTGCATTTTATTATTTCTCTGATAAAAAGCTAAGATGCAAACATTCTTTCAGATTTCCCAAGCATGTAAGAGGTTTGCATTTTTGGTCATTTCGCTTTTTTTTCTTTCTTTTTTTTGGTCTTTTTGAGACAGGGTCTCCCTGTAGCCCCAGCTTTCCTGGAACTCACTATGTAGACCAGGCTGGCCTTGAACTAACAGAGATGTGCCTGCCTCTGCCTCCTGAGTGCTGCATTTCACTATTTTTAAAAATGCACTTACGTCTTCAAATAATGTCTTTCACAGAACTCATTTTCTAAGAGAAAGAAATGTAAAGCTACTCTGAGTAGGAAGACAATGAAGGAACAGTCACTCACCTAGATTTCCTTATTTCCCACAAATTTCCACTTCAGATCCTGGGCTGCCACTATAGAAACCTTAATTCATCATAGAACAGTTGTAAACCAAAGCATTTCTTAGTAAGACTGTACCCCTTTGACACCACTCCCAAAGGCCACCAGCACCTCAGAAGCTTCTGTCCATCATCTAGTCTTCTCTCTCCAGATCGAAATACCATTTCCTACAAAATTCACCTTTTGCATCTCCTCAGTATATTTCATCACACTAAGCATAAGGAAGTAATGATACAAACTTAAGGAAAACATTCACTTATGTATTTCACTCCACTCTTCTGTGAGAGACTGGGGATGATCTGAAACAAGGAATAAAGGAATGTTTTCACATCTATCCATTACCATCACTGTAAGGACACAGACCCAAACAAAAGTCCCCATCACCTTGGCTTCAGACACAGCTGCCAAATCAATGCTGCTTTCTACCATATTCTCAAATACCAATGAAGTAATAATTTTTATCAATATTGTTTTTTTGGCATGGGGAAGGAGTTTGTGGTATATATGTTACCTCAATGCTGATTTTCCTTAATGCTGGTTTAGTACAGAACAGAGAGGGAGAAGGCAGGACAAGAATTGTAAACAATTTGTAAAAGTTTTCAGTCACATTTTTTTTAACCAATTCAACTTGGCAATTTGTAGCCTCATAAATGTTAATCTATTATCGTTTTTTTCTCTCTGTCTGCAAATGAATCCTTGAATTTAAACCATTACCCTCAAACAGAGAGTTGGAACATAAATTTCAAATCTGTCTACCTCAGGCTGCCAAGATCTGTATTATTTTCTATAGAATGGGTTACAAAGAGGAATAGTCCCATGATCTTATTATTGGAGCTATAACCAGTTTTTATCAGAGATAAGAGATCAATCAAATTAAAGATGGGTACTCTTTTGTGCTTTTCCAGGAAAACAGAGCACTAGAATTAAAAAAAAAAAAAAGAAAAAAACCCTGAGGGAAGTGGCTATTCACTCTTGACCTTTTATCTCATTTTCATAGACCGAATGTGGATTTAATTGAGAATATTTCAGATGGACAATATTCTTTCCCAAGAATTTACATTAATGTCCCTGTACCTATTCTCAAAGATCTTTCCCTTAAACTGAAGACTCAAATTTAACACCACTTCTGTTGACAGAATCCACTGCACATCTTGGGTCTCCGCTTTGGGGTCCAACAAAAAGAAGACCAAATAAATCACAGGAAAAAATAGCTGGTATACGTACAGTATGATCTCAAAGTAAAATAAAAATTATATGAGCAGGTCTACATCATATTACACAAAAAAGACACAGTCCACTTCTGATAGTTCAGTTTCATGGGTTTGTATTT